AGCAGGGAAGAACTGCAGAATATAATGTCATACAGATATTTTTAATATTATTAAAAAAATGTGTCCATCAATGGTGGCAATCAGTAGGCTAATTTCTAATGAAAAGACCTATTTATATGACAGATTTTAATGTAGGCTTTTATTCATGTAAACATTGTGAGATAGCTAGTTATAATGTTAATTAAACAAAGTTTTGCTCACTCAGTGTATTTTTGATTTTACAGTTGGGTAATTTTGTTTAAGTAGCACGAGATAGCTTGATTTAAAACTTTGAATTGAATAAAAAATGACAAGGAGGCTAAGCAATTAATAATAAAATAAGAACAAATAAAGAAATTACTAATGATAGCACAAATAAAAAATAACGATAGGCCTACAAATGAAATAAATTGCTTTTTAGTTTTTCAGGTAGGTCTAACACACAGTATTAAGGCTATTAAGATTATATATATTTAGCAATTATCCAAATAATGTTTAATTCTAGAAGGCTATTATTATCAGAGGACACCTGAGCATAACACAGATCAATGAATGAGAGGGCAGCGTTGCCCATTTACTACACCTTGTTACAACACAGTAGGGCTATTGCAAACAGAAACAATACTGAACTACATCGATGTTTCTTGTCAGCTTGATTTTTGAGTGGACTTTGCTGTTCCGATGAGCATGAACGGTATATGAGTGGAGCACTCACATGGGCCGTGAGCGACTGAGCGGAGGACACACACGCATAGAGCAGGATAATACACAGAGCGTCACACCACATGAAAGTGAAACCTGAGCGGTGAACTAATTTTCGGCAGCCGGAATTTCAGTGCATCTCTAATTATTGGCGACATCATGAATGGATATTATATAATAGCTGTTTTTTTGAACATTTTAGCAATTTAAGAATATTAAAAAAATAATTTTTTACACGGCACCTCTGCTCTCGACAGACGGGTTGGGAAACACTGCTCTAGACTAGAGGGTTCAACAGCTTAAGAGAAAGGCACAGTATCTTTTTTTTCTCTGAAATGATGCCGTTTTGATACTTAGAGCTCCGTTTCTAGAAAAGTACTTCTGTACAATTGTATATAATAAAAAATTTATTGAATTGTGTGCATGTGTTGATCTTATTTTCTGAAACAAATCACCTAGTAAACTGTGAATTACCACAAAATGAATTTATGAAAATTGCATAATTAAAATAATATTAAAATGTTTAATGCACTAATATATATATATATATATATATTCTAACATGTATATATATACACACATGTATTTTCTAAAAAAACTCACATAGTAACTGTGAGTTACCAAAACATGAATTCATTATAACTGTGATATAATATAATATAATATAATATATACACTGAAACATGTATGTATACATTTTCTTTAAAAAAAACTTGCCTATTAACTGTGAATTACCAAAACATGAATTCATGAAAACTGTATGATTTAAAAAATTATATATATATAAAAAAAAATAAATAATAATATATATATATATATATATATATATATATAAGTATTCAGATCTTTTCAACAGAGATGGAGCATGTCTGAGAAGA